GCGCTGGGAGCTCCATGAACTCGAGCTGCCGCATGGCGGCGAGCCAGTCGGTCCAGGCGCCACAACCTGCTGGGAACAGGGACTGTACGCCAGCAGGGACGTCAAGTGCAAGCCTCCGTGCATCTGTCGCCAGCTGCTGAACCTGAACCGTGCCGTTGCGCCGTCGCCGATGCCGTTCGGCACGTTGAACGAGAGTGTGGATGCGAGCCCACCAGGACGCTGCCATGTCCCGCATGGGCTGGTCGCGGATGTGGGCTGCAGCATGGACTGGTCCCACCTCCTGAGAGGGTCCTGCAGCTCTAGACCGAACTGGAGCATCAAGATGATGGTGTTCGCTGAGACATCGTTCCGCCACTGACACCCATGTAGCGAAACACCCACTGATAGCCAGGATGCGGGGCCCGCCAGCTGCATACGCGAGCCATGAGCGGATCGCTGGCCAGACTTCTTGAAGAGAGTGTGACAACCAACCAACCTGGTTCTGATGTTTGAGCCAAAGTGCTGACGGAAGAGCAGAAGAGGGGGAGGAAGCAGCAGGCGCACCATCAGTCGGAGTAGGACGGGCGTCCGAGACGTCCCTGGCCAGAGGATCCTGGGCAGTGCCGTCGCTGGGGTGGGCCCGACGCTCCCTCGAAAACTCGCCAACTTGAGACTCCTCCTCCAGAGTGCAAGGATACTGCACCACCTGTCTGCTGAGCACACCGCGGGCGGGGGCCTGCTGTAAGCGTGGCCTCTCCACCTCATCCTCAGAGCGACTGATGCCTGGAGGAGCGGGTGCCATAACAGGTGCATGCGAAAAACAGGTTTCCTCGGCCCAGGGGTCTTCCTCATCATCGTCGGGGAACCCCGAGCCAGAAACATCATGATCAAAATCAAAAAACTCTCCTTCGTCGCGTGTGCCCTCGAGCTCGAGAGGTCTGCCGCCATCGTCGACAGCAGCAGTCCCCTCACCCTCCTGACACTGCTGCTGGGACGGACAGAGATCAGAGAAGAGCGTAGCACATATCTCACGCCTTTTTTCACGTGCAGTCGCCACTCGAAAAGCCTGCTGCTGCCTGGACCGACAAGACTTGGAGTCAGGCTGAGCAACAGGAGAGGGCCTCGGCATCTGAGGATAACGAGGGGCAGTCGGCATGCTGCGTGCAATCATCTGCTTCCCTGAACTGCGAAGTATGACGCTCAGGCCGCAGTGCGGTGCCCAGGACACATCCTGGACTGCGGAAATACTAACTATATAAGGAAGGCAGGCAGCACTGGCAACAACAAAATCGATATGGGAGTCGCCGTTGCCGCCCACCTGAGTGTACTGCACTGGGGCTTTGATGATGTGCCCCTGTATCTTGTCTAAAAAAGAAGAGGTGCGAAAGCGTTCAACATCGATGTTCCAATCACCAGCCACCATCCACGGCATCTGGAGGGTCCTCAGGAAGGATCCAAGCCTTGAATACCGCTGGGTATTGCTGCCAGCGAATCCAACTGACGGGTGTCCGTAGAAGGTGACGAGAACGAAACTGAAACCTTGCTGATGCAGAACCACAGGGAGGAAACCGTCGAGCTGGTCGTGCCCGTCTGCGCAAAGGTGTGTGACCTCTGTTGGGGTCTCAAAGAGGCGGTGAAGGTAGCGGTGGCCTTGGGCAAGAACGAGTTCCCCTCCTTCGTTCGCCCGATCACGTGCAGCTCGCGTAGTGCCTCGGCCTGTGGGCCTGGCGCCGTTGTCGATAAACTTGAGCTTCAGTCTGCGGGCCTTGTTGACCCAATCATCCCGAGTGCGTCCACAGACATGAGTCTCAACAATCCCAAAATATGTATATTCTTGGAGTCTCTGACGATCTGTGAGAAAATCCCAAGCTCTTTGACCAAGGCAGGTGACGTTGGCAAAGAACAGCTTACTCACATCATGATCATCGGTCTCCTCGTCTGCGGGCGCGGCAAGCGGCGACGCTGGCGCTGTTCCCCCAGCGCTGTCGTCGCGGCTCGCCGCGGGGCCTCACTGGCCGCCTGCGCCCGCAGCCTTCTGCCTCTGTGCCTCCTGCGCCGCCGTGGCCGCCGCCAACTTGGCTGCGGAGATCCTCGCGGCCTCCGCTGCCACCTGGTCTGGGGTGGGCCCTGGCGATGCTGTCTGGCTGCTTGATGCTGCTGCAGCTGCCGAGGGAGGTGTAGCACTATCACCTCCAGCAGGTCCCTCCTCGGCAGCTTCCCCTGCAACACGTCGCTTCTTCTTCATGCGGTCCTGCACGGCCGCCTGGATGGCCAGCGCCTCCTTCCGCCAGGAGGCAAGCTCTGCCGACCTCTGCGTGAGGTTGTCCTTGGCCTCCCGCAGCTCCTTCTCGAACTTGTCCAGCTTCTCCAGCTCGGCGGGGTCGCAGTCGAGCTCCCGCAGCTCGGTGAAGAAACTGGGGTCCCAGTGGAGCTCGATCAGGTCGCCCTTGTCTGTGGATGCTGGTCCTGTGCTGGCTGCACCCTGACTGTTGCGGCCTGCGACTCCGCTGCCGCCACTGACTGCCTCGTGCAAGACTTGGGCCGCCAGCTTGCGCTGCAGCTCGGCCTCCGCGAGGTAGGTGGCCATCTCCTGCTCCTTCTGCTCGGCCTTCCGAAGGTTCTCCCTGCACCGCACGACCTGCTGGACAGCTTGGTCGTGCTTGGTGCTCGCGTCCCGCCAGGCGCCTGCGGCCTTGCGCACGGCGTCCTCCGCCGAGATGGCGGTTGGCGGGGCCGCCTGCTGCGCCGCCAGGGCCGCACGGGCCGCCTGCGCCGCGAGCACCTTCTTGACCTCTGGGTCGTCGGTGGCTGCCAGCGCCTGGGCGAGCAGCGACTCCAGAGAGGACGACGAGCCAGATGGTGGAGAGACGGACATGGCCAGCGTATTCTCCGACGTTGTCGAAGTGTTCCTGACATCAGACTTCTGGCCCTTGGGCTTGTAGAGTTTGACTGGTCGATTGCAGCCTCGACACTTGCTGGCCTGGGAAACTAGAACATCATTGTATTCATGCCGCCCGCAACCCGCGCATGTCGACCAAGCCCGTGGAGCCCCTGGAGAGAATTTCCCCGCCTTCGTCATCGCGACTGCCTGTTCGAGAAACTAGGAACGGGAAGCGCGATGTCCCTCAAGCCCCACGTGGAGGGGGCGGGGTGGACCCGAGTGCCCTGTGCAAAATGCGGATTCGGGCCCGTTGCTTGAGGGAGGAGGAGGAGGAGGAGGAGGAGGAGGAGGAGGAGGAGGAGGAGGAGGAGGAGGAGGAGGAGGAGGAGGAGGAGGAGGAGGAGGAGGAGGAGGAGGAGAGGGAGGAGCCCAAAAGAGAAGCGCCCTATCACCGCGACGGCTATTAGCCGCTGTGCCTGCAGAGGCCACTGTGGCCTGTAGACCTTGCAGCGCCCTGCCTCGCATGCCTCCGCCACCACCTCGCAAGAATGGCTGTTTCGTGACCCGCCCTCGGCAGCGCGCAACAAATGTGGTTGAGGCGATGGGGGGCAGCCTTCTAAGAGCTCAGAGGGGGAGGAGGAGGAGGAGGAGGAGGAGGAGGAGGAGGAGGAGGAGGAGGAGGAGGAGGAGGAGGAGGAGGAGGAGAAGGACGAGGAGGAGGAGGAGGAGGGAGGAGGAGGCTGGTTCTGACCAACAAAAACAATGCATCTGCGAAGGTCCGCCTGGAAGTCTCGGGTCGGCGATGACACTCCTCCCCTGGCGCGCTGGGAGCGGCGCCGCCGAGCCAAGGTGTTCCAAAGCCGGCCCAGGATAGCCGTGCGGACCCCCCCCAAAGCTTGTTTAGTTGTTGTTTGTTCTCCGTCTGGTGAAAGGGCCAGGGGTATCTGAGGACGCCTGCTTAGAGGGCAGGAAGGCTTCTGATAAGCCCACTCGCCCCGCCCCACTCATTCGGCGAGTTCGTGTCATCACGACATCGGCGTAAGTCTCTGACACCACGTGGATCGCTCAACTCTGAGCGATCGTCGCTGTGCGAAACGGCGGGTTGCTCAATACCGTTGTTGACCAGGAGCGCCCACCGGCGAGGTCGCCACCACATCGACACGACGCGAAGCTGCCCTACGCGCCGCCACGGGCGCACGCCAGGCGTGGAGCTGGGCGACATCGAATTAGGGGTCCCGGAACTGTGTAGTGACGGACCGTGCGGTGATCTCCCATATCTCGAAGGACCTCCCAGCATGGTAAAGTCACCGCGTGGCCTTAGGATCCTGGACCACTAATCGCCCCAGACGTCCTCGGAGACCGACCCGAAACCGTGCGGCCACCCCGATTCTCCTCTGACTCACCCCGCGGTGTGCGCTCCCGCTCTTTTGAAGGGGCCCTGGGACACACAAATAAACACACACAAATAAACATGTTCCCCATACTTTCCCATATTTTCTGGGTTTTTGTCTTCCCCACCACTTCCCATATTTTCCCATGTTTCTGGGGAATCGAGGATGAATTGTGTCTGTGTGTTTCTTTTCCTCCTGACTTTGGGCCCCCTCCCCGAGGCAGCGAAGGCGCGGCACGCGGGAGCAGACGCCGGGAGGGCCGCTGCGCCGCACCCGGCCCCCCGCCTCTCTACGCGAGCACGCGGAGAGCCCGCCTCCACGCGCCAGAAGGGCCGAGCGCTGATCCTCCTCCTCGGTCCCCCTCCTCTGATGGCATTGGAGTTCGGTGGCGAATGCTACCATGCTCCCCCCCCAGTGGCCTTCGCCAGATGGCTGTCAAGGTAAAGGAGGCGCGCAGCAAGGGGGAGAAAGGGCCCTCCAGGAGGGGGGGGCAGCTAGGACACCTTGAGGGGCACAGAGAGCTGGGGAGAGCGAAGACACGGCGACGACGAGGGCTGCGACCCTCCTCCGCCGCCTCCGCTTCCTCCTCCTCGGAACGCATCTGAAGGAATCTGCGACCCTAGCATGCGAAAACGGGACTGTCTCCTCCTCCTCCTCCTCCTCCTCCTCCTCCTCCTCTTCCTCCTGCCCCCTCCGCACTCGATCCTCGAGCGCCCCCCCCCCCCCCCCGCCCGCATGCGCGCGCGCGCCTGGCGCCGAGCGACAGCTCGTCCAGGACGGCGCGCTGGTCTCCGCACTCCGTCGCCGTGTAGACGGGCGTGAACTGCGGCCGTGGCGCGCCAGTCAGCGGTCGGCGGCATCCTCAGGAGGTCTCGAGTAGGGCCAGGCTCGGATGGGCGCTCTGCTGCCTGAAGGGGGCACCTCCTGGGAGGTGCCCCACTGGGATCGCTCAAGGACTACTACATAAGCCCGGTTGAAGCTGGACCACCCCCACATCTCAGCAACACCTGTGACATTGTCCGCATCTTCGATTCCACTGACTTCACATGCACGCCACATTCTATGTACATCGCACGATGCAACTTCGCAATTGCGCCGACTTAAATCACACGAGGGAAACGTCGGCTCGCCAACACGCCAACACAATCCACCTTCAAGCAAATACGAACTACGCTGCTATGGAATCCTGAGCTGTCGGGTTTGACACGCGGGTGGCCTACGCGTAGCTGAAAGGGTGCTGCGCCTGCGCTGCATTCGCACTCAACGAAGACGGCGGGTCGCTTTAGTGAGGAACGCCACCTCAGAGAGAGAGAAAGAGAGAGAGAGAGAGAGAGGACGTGACTCGCTGTCGCTTGCGGGAGGGGTGGGAGGGGGACAGGTAAACTCTTCCTCTCCGCCCCCTGCCCCCGTTCAAAGACGGAGTGGGGGGAGTAGGAGGGGGGGCAGGCAGTCAGGAGGAGGTGGGGGAGGCAGGATGAAAAGAGGAGGGGGGGGGGAAGCAGGAGAGGACTTGCGTATCAGGACTGCTGCAGTAACTCAGCCCCCCGGGCACGCTTCAACACCCTGGCGTGGAGAAGCAGCCGCCCAACTGGGCCTACGGATACCGCTCCACAGGGGGTGCCCATGGAGATGGAGGGGGAGGGGGTGGAGGGGGGACAGCGGGGAGTCAAGGGGGGAGGACGAGGGGGAGGAAGGCGGGGAAATACTGCGAGGGGGGTCGGACGAGGGGGCGGAGCAGGACCAGGGGGGGAAGGAGCGTGCAGGGCGGGAGAAGCACGGATGGAGAGCGAGGCGGAGTGGGCGCTCGCGTCAGCGGGGCGGGACGGGAAAATGACCACAGCCACTGTGGTCGTTTTCACGCCCCGTAAGCGGGGCGGGCGGGGGGGGCCTTCTTCCAGATGCAGGCATTCAGCGCGCCGTACGCGAGCAGGAGCGCGCCGCCTCCGCCGCCCCCCGCCCCGCCCCCTTCCCGCCTCCGCCGGTCCTGCTCCTGATCCTCTGCCTGCTCCTCCTCTGGATCCGTTTCTTGGTCCCTCCTGGCCCCCCCGTGGCCTCCCCCCCTGGAGCTCCTCTTCATGAACACTCCTCCTCCTCCTCCTCCTCCTCCTCCTCCTCCTCCTCCTCCTCCTCCTCCTCCTCCTCCTCCAACACTCCTCATCCCGCCCCCCGTCCTGTCCTGGCAAAGCAGCAACGACTGTGGAGGACGAGGATGAGGTACAATCCCGCATCGAAGTGAAGGGCGTGTTTTTTTTTGGGGGGGGGAGGGGGTCCGACTGTACCTCCCAAGCGTCTGAATGACGAACGCTGGCTATGTGTATGGGTTCGGGCTGCCGTACCCCAAAGGAGGCTCCCGTTCGAGCGGGGACCCCCATCCGACAACACGCACCCACAGCTCTCCCCGTCCACTTATGGGTATGGGTGTGTGTGCGTGTGTGTCGCCCGTTCGCGACTGAGACCCTGCGTGAGATATCTAACAAACGGGAGTGCCGATGAGGAGGATGATGGCGGAAACACAGGGGTGAGGGAATGGGGGAAGGGGAGTGTGGACGAGAAAAGGGGGTGGACGAGTGGAGGAAGGAGAATTGCAGGCATAGGAGCAAATGGGAAAGGAACGAGGACGACCGATGGGGAGGGGGAGCTGGAGGGCGAGGGGGGGGGGAAGGGGGAGACGGCCAATATCCGAATCCGCCAGCCCCTCTCTGACCCTTCACCACCACAACCTCTTTTTCTTCCCCCCTCCCGGCATAGGAGCGGGTATGGCTGCCCAAAGTCTGGTTGCCAAATTCCCCCAAAAGTGTATCCCGTGCCGTATGCGACCTCCCAAAAGCAAGCCGAGGAAGAGAGTCTTGGGGCCCAACGCTCCATGATGAGGAGGACTGGTTTGGATGAGGAGAAAGGACGGAGATGGAGGAGGAGGAGGAGGAAAATGGGTGATGAAAAGAAGGGAGGACGATGGATGAGGAGGGGGGGATGATGGAATCGGATCATGGATGGGGAAGAAGGCGGGGTAATTACAACAGGGGAACACAAATCGTGTGCTCGGACAACACATGTGAAGACAGCGCGCTGGGGTGGGAGGAAGCACATGATGACGAATGTCGTTCACTGCGTCCCCTGATCTGCAAAGCTCTCTACGCACTGCTTCCTGCGCTCTAGATTATACTCTGCTATGTACCCTTCATGGCGTGGCCTTCCAATCTGCACGCCGCGTATACCTTCCAACGTATACCCCACTCCGCACACGCTCTGCACCATCTACCGTGCGCGCTCGCGCTCCTGCTCATGGCTGTTTGCTATGTGATAGATTGCCTGCGCGTTCTGGCCCAATGGCCTCTGTTATACGGCTGCGTGCAGTATGTTTCATATCTTATCAGCGGGAGGGGGCCGACAATCATTCTTTGTCCCTGGGTGCGTGGCTGGACCGTGATTTTGCTGCGGGAGTTATTGTTGGCGTTGCGCTGCGTAGCGATGTGCTGCGAGTGCCAGCGACTAAACCATTGTTGTTCTTACTGGATCCCCTACAATCGCCCTGGCGCTCTCGCCCGTCGCCGGCTGCATTTCCCTTGACATGACAGCTCACGCTCGAACGTGTTTGGTTACCGCCCATACCAACCCCCAAACAACAGCAACGCTAACGTGCGGGACTTCCTCCGAATCCCACCAGCCCTCTGGGCGTCGGTGGTTTAGGGCGTTTCCTCTTCCACCCCTCCCTCTTCCCCTTCGGAGAAGGGTTTACCCTTCCCCCTACCCCCTCCCCTGGACCTGGACGGCGGGGGCCGCGGGTAGTTAGAGCGTCCAAGATGGCCCAAGATGGCTCCATGAGGGCCTCAGAGCAGCCCAAGATAGCGTCGAAGATGGCTCAAGAGAGCGCGAGATGCCTCGATATAGCTCCGAAGATGCTCCAAGACGCTCCAAGACGGGTCTAAATTGCCAAAAGAGCTCCCCAATGACGCCCCGACCAGGCCAACATGCTTCAAAACCATACGAAAATCAATGTTTTTGGCGTTATCGCTTTTGCGCTTCCGATGCCCATCCGAGGCCTCAACATCGCTCCAAGATGGCCCAACAGGGGTCCAATAAGGTACCAAGAGAGCCCCGAGAGAGCCCCAAGAGCGCCCAAGAGCGCTCCAAGAACGCTTCAAGATGGGTCCAGGAGGCGATTTTGGGTGCTCCTGAGGGGGGCGTAATTGAGGAACCCCCCTTCGTTGACCGATCTCCTCCAAGATGGCCCCAAGAAGCGCCCAGGAGGCCCCAAGAGGTCCCAAGATGGCCCCAAGATGGCCCCAAGAAGCCCCCAAGAGGCCCCCAGGAGGCTCCCAAGAAGACCCTAAGCGGCCCCAAGAGGCCCCCCCCGATGCACCCAAGACCCCGAAGAGCCCCCCAGGATCGCCAAGAGACACCCAAGACGTCCCAAGAGGCCACCAAGAATCGCCCAAGAGATACCCCAAGAGGCTCCGAGAGGCATCCAAGAGACCTCTGGCCCTTGTGCTTGCCCTCCTCCTTATCCTGTGCCTCCTTCCTGCTCCTACTCCTTCTCTTCCTCCTCCTCCTCCGCCTCCTCCTCATCCTATTCATCCTCCTTCTTTCCACTCCCTCATCCATCCATCCATCCACCTCCTCCGTCTCGTCCTCACTCCTTTGCATGGTTCGGCCGTTCTCCTCTTTGCTGCCACACTTCCCTGATCACCTCAACTCGCCTGGACATCGTTTCTGGATGGGCTGATGGGGATACTCGAAACGTCTAGAATTTACTCCGAACGGACCTGGCCATAAAAGGCCCGAGCCTCCGGGAGGGTGCTCTCGCCTGGGACACTCTCAAAATCTACCGCCTCGAAAAAGTCCTGCAAAACAATATTGTCGCTACATGCGGATGTCGGAACGGCCGTTTCGCTTGAAATCTCGTATCCGTTAAGCAGTATCAGGGGGCCTTTGCGAACCGGGTTGCTGTTTTTTCGCGGGTGCCGGCATTGCTTTTTCGCTCGAGACCAAGCTCGCAGGGCGTGGCTGACCCGGCAATTCCTCGGCCCCGCAAAGGGTATGCTTGGGGTGCGTGGCTCACAACGCGTGGCAGGCGCAGCGTTCCTCGGCGGCACGTGCAGGGGATACGCCGAGGGTGGGGTCGCAATGCGCTGCAGGCTTGCAGGGCGTGGGGCGGTACCACCTCGAAAGCCAAGGAGTGCGCCAGGGGGTGGGGGCGCTATGCGCTGTAAGCTTGCAGGGCGTGGCGGGCGTGGCAATTCCTCGACGGCGCAGAAGGGTGCGCTGAGGGTGGGGCGCTGCGCGCTGCAGGCTCGCAGGGCGTGGCAAGTGCGCCGCCTCCTGGACGGCGCAGGGGGTGCGCTGAGGGTGGGAGGCGCTGCGCGCTGCAGGCTCGCAGGGCGTGGCGGGCGCGGCATTTCCTCGGCGCCGCGCCTCTTATCCAAAACTTGTGCACACGTCGGCTCACCACGCCCGCGCTTTCCCGCTGAAGTCCCACTTGCGGGCAGCCGCCCGACCTGCCCGTGGCAACGCTGCCGCCCAAAATTGACATGGACGCGCTTCCACCTCCGTGCTTGGCGATGAAGAGCGCAATGATTCAGATGGGCGCCGAGGTCAATGCGGAGACCTCGCGCACATGGGCAACAGGGATGGAACAATTCGCTGTGAATGCGGTCCGCCGTCAGCTGAACAGTTGGTTGCCCGATCCACACGTTTGCACGCGCCCGAAACTCACGGAACCCAACGCCCGCTGGCATTTGGAACATCTGGC